TTTATTATAAAATTTCTAAATATAAAACTATTTTATAATTATTCAAAAATATTGTATAAAGATATATTGTAATATTAATTATATTTATGTTTTTACACAATTTTTTTTAAACAAATATTATAAATTTTGTTGTTTTTCTTCCTATAATGATTTTCAAAATAATTAGATTTTATACATTGATTATTGATTCAAAAATTAAACTAAGAAAGATGTTACATAAGTAAAAAGAAAAAATTATTTCCGACCCGGACAATTTTAGGGGTCTACACCTACCAAGTCTTGTGCACCAGACAAATAGCTTATGTGAAGCATGTCAAAAGGGGAAACAAATCAAAAGCTCATTTCAAAGTAAAAATCATGTTTCCACCTCTAGACCTCTTGAACTACTACACATAGACTTATTCGAACCCACTAGGACAACATCTGTCAGTGGTAAACGATATGGACTAGTCATTGTGGATGACTACACTAGATGGACATGGGTGTTGTTCATAACTCACAAGGATGAGTCTTTCAAGGTGTTTCATGTATTCTGTTAAAGAGTTCAAAATGAAAAGGGAATTTCAATTGTTTATATCAAAAGTGATCATGGGGGAGAATTTGAAAATGAACAATTTCAAGAATTTTGTGAAGAAAATGGAATTAAACACAATTTCTCAACACCTAGAACTCCACAGAAAAATAGGGTTGTAGAAAGAAAGAATCGTTCTTTACAAGAAATGGCAAGAACTTTACTAAATGATTTCTCCATCCCCAAACATTTCTGGGCAGAAATAGTTAATACTTCCTGCTATATTCAAAACAGAATATATATTAGGCCTTTGCTAAAAAAGACTCCTTATGAATTGTGGAAGGGACGAGCACCTAACATATCATGCTTTCATCCGTTTGGTTGCAAATGCTTTATTCTAAATACCAAAAAAAGCTTAGGTAAATTTGACTCAAAAATCGACGAGGGTATTCTACTCGGATACTCTAAAAGGTCAAGAGCCTATAGAGTTTTCAACAACAGAACCAAAACTGTTGAAGAAGTCATTCATGTTAAATTTGATGAAAACAAGCCTGATAAAGAAATATCAGAGCTAGGCGATTTCTTCGAGAACATGAAGGTGAAAAATGATCAGACGAAGAAGCTTGAGTTTAAAGAAACAACGACTCAACGGGACAAAAAAGAGGAAAGAGAACCAGTCAATCACAACTGGCAGATGAAAGCTCATCACCCACAAGAACAAATCATTGGAGAAGCAAAGGATGCAGTAAGAACTAGAAGTTCGTTCAAAAAAACAAGCACAAATTGCACTGCTATCCCAAGTTGAACCAAGAACCACGGGCAAAACCCTGTCAGACAAAAGTTGGGTTCAGGCCATGCAGGAAGAACTAAGCCAATTCCAGAAAAATGATGTATGGAAACTTGTTCCAATGCTAGAAGACAGATAAATCATAGGCACTAAATGGGTATACAAGAATAAATTAGACGAATCAGGAAACGTGGTAAGAAACAAAGCAAGGTTAGTTGCAAAAGGGTACTCTTAGCAGGAAGGTATAGACTTTACTGAAACCTTTGCACCTGTTGCCTGAATAGAGGCCATTAGAATTTTACTTGCTTTTGCCGCATGTACTGGCATGAAATTATACCAGATGGATGTTAAAAGTGCATTTTTAAATGGAACAATCTCAGAAGAGGTTTACGTGAGTTAACCTCTCAGTTTTGAAAACAACCTACTATCATTTCATGTTTTCAAACTAAACAAAGCTTTGTATGGATTAAAACAGGCACCATGTGCATGATATGAAAAATTAAGCTCTTTTCTAACAAATAATAATTTTATAAGGGGAAAAATTGACAACACCTTGTTTAGAAAAGAAATAAAGGATGATTTCATAATAGTTCAAATCTATGTAGACGACATAATATTTGATGCTACTAATGAAAATATTTTCCAAGAGTTTTCCAAGCTTATGCACGAAGAATTTGAAATGAGCATGATAGGAGAACTAAAGTTCTTTCTAGGACTTCAAATCGTCCAGTCAAACAAAGGAATCAAAATTCATCAGACAAAATATACAAAAGAATTACTACAAAAGTTTAAGATGGAAAATGCAAAACCAATGAAGACACCGATGCATCCTTTAACTTCTCTTGGTCTGGACAAAGAATCACTAGACGTTGATAACAC